CTAGCTAGAAAGTCACCAGGAGGTACATTTTTTAAAATTTCATGATGAAATCCTTAAATAAATTCTCTTTCTGTCTCAGTCTCTATCTAATTTTATTTTTATTTGCATGTTGATAAAACATTAATTTAACAAAATTAGTTATCAGTCACATGTAAAAAATGTTGTGTTTCCCATAAAATTATAGAAAAAAATGTATTTATTTCAGTTTTCTGAAGATGAGAACTAGACCAGAGAGGACTGGACCAATCTTTGCCAATGAATATGAAGCCAGAGTTTAATAGAAGGGTTTTTGTGATTTAATCAAAGCACAGTGAAATATCTCTTATTTAAAAAAAAATCATTCTAGAAATGAACAATCATAGGTTCCTTGGTATTACTTTTGTGAAAATGTAAAAACAAATATGGGGTTAAAGAATAGGACTTGACCCATTAAGGTCATACGTAGGAAATGGTACCATAAAAAGAAATGCTGCCCTCTGGAGCACTTTGATCTAGCCAATATTTTAGTCTACTCATTATTTAAATTGTTATAATGATAGATATAACAACAAATGTGTTTTTACATATTTTTTCCTAATTTGTGAATGCAACTTTCTTCTATAAAATAGGTATAAATATCACATGTAATTCATTGAACTACTATGACAATTATGAAGATGAGTACTCATGATTCAATTTAGCTAATCATTTCTATCTCTTCTTACTATAACTTTATATAGCTGTTCTTTCCCAACAGAGATAATGGCAAAATAAGTGGGAGGCATGGAGGTGAATTATCCAGCTCATGAGTATGAGTGGCATCCATATGCCTATTTCTATACCCTGTTATATTTTCACTGTTACTGAAGACTGTATCTCCATTGTTAAGAACAATGCTATCATCATACTTATTAAGAGATTTAAAAGAAATGTCTAAATAAATTGCTATATTTTAGAGTGAAAATTATACCTGCATATTTTAAAACATTAGTAGTGTGTGAATAAATGATTATTTAATATGAAAAATGCTCTTCTTAATATTTTGAAGCAACTTACAGGATCATATATCAAAGTATGTATGCACATATGAAAAAGATGCGGCTATTTATTAAGATAGTCACCTGTGTTCACAAGTTATGTTGCTTTTCTAAAGCGGCTCTATCTTATGCATATTTGTTTATTGGCCTTAGTTTCTTTCCTTTTTATTCTTTTTCCTTTTAAAATAAATGTATATTTATAAAAAAAAATTGCAAGAATAGTGCATGGAACTTTTCCTTTTAATCTGAACTATTTAAAGTAAGTTGACATGATGCTAGCTTTAGCATTTACTTTCTGCAACACATCCTCCTACATAAGATCTATGAAATAATTAAATTGCCATCTAATCGAAAGATCACAACCAAATTTTACCCTTATTCCAATAATGTCCTTTATAACAAAAGGATGTATGCATGGAATTTATTTGTTATGTGTCTTTTCCTTAATCATTCCTTGCTTTTCATGGCTTTGACACTTTGAAGGCTAGTTATTTTGTAGATGGTACCTCAATTTGGATTTGTCTTATATTTCCTCACACTATATTCTGATTATGCATTTTTGGCAAGAATATCACAGCTGTTATTCTGTGTTCTTCCCATTGCCTCTTTTTGATAGTATGAAAGTTTAATTTTCTCATTGCTAATGATATTAACTTTGATCACTTAATCAAAATGGGATCTGCTAGTTTTATCAGCCGTAAAGTTACTATTTTTCCCTTTGTAATTAACTAATAATTTGGGAGTAGGTATTTTAAGACTATATTGATTTTTTTCTCATCTAACTCTCACAACCTCTTTACCAACCATTGATGTTCCTTAGCTGAATTAATGTATATTCTGATGTTTGTTAAAGTTGGATAATGGATGTTTCTAACATACAGCCATCCTTTTTTTAAAAAAAAAAAAAATTCTTTCTTTATGGCTCAACACATTATTCCAGGCTTATCTTGTACTTCTCTGTCCCACTCCTAGAATCAGCCAATTTTACAAACAGCCCTGGTTACTCCCAGTGAAGAAGGGTACTTAGAAACCAAGATCTATCTGCCAAGTGTGCTCTTTCGTTATTGGGATGTTGTAGCTCCCAAATCATCTCAGTGTGTAGAATTTGCTCAGAAATTGTTTTCTAAATCACATTCCTGACAAAGGAAGCTCCTTGTAGAAGTGGCTGAACACACACACACATGCACACACACACACACACCACCTTCACTTCTTTTCTCGATTCATCTATGTACATAAAACCAGAGTACCCCCAATAACCAATCATCAGCCCAGGGTCATTCTAATTTTTGCCTTTTCCCTATCTCTTCTCCAAAGGTGAAATAGCTATATTAGCTATATTAGCCATGCTAACCCTACCAACTTTGCAGAAATGAATCATCCATCACTGCCCCCACTCCTTTATTTAAAACTGTCCTTACTCTGATCAGGTTCTAATACTCCTCTCTGGGTTGCTGTTTCTGTTTTAAAACAGGCACATCCTTTTCACACAGCCATGGCTCCAACACTGAACCACTGAAGACCCCTTAACTCCATTTCACTCCCTTCAGGATCTAGCACCCTATGCCAGGCTGCTGTGCCCTACCCCATTCACATACAAATGCCTACCTTGCTCAGAGGTATGACAATTATTCAGGAGGGAAAAAAGGAAGGAAAGAAGGAAGAAAGGAGGGAAGAAAAAAATATTTTTGATGCAAAATAATTTAAAATGTAGCTTTTCCTTTTTTCACTGACTATGTAGTACAAAATTTCATGCTAAATTTTGCCTGTTTTAATTTATTGCTCTTTGGGAACAAAGTAATATGTTACAGTGTAAAATAAAATAAGTCAAATAAGATTGACCTTTTACTAGGTGAAATAGGCCAATGACATATTGAATGGTGGTGTTAACATATATTTTGAAATATTTAAATTTCTATATGTTTCTCATAATATTTCATTTAAAATCACATTATACTTTTAGTGTTTCAATTCTGTAGGAAAGGTTTAATTTTATAAGCATTAAATAAAGTAGTCTCCTCAAAGGAATCATATTCATAAATACTGATATCTAAACGTATGTTTCCCACTTAAGATACAGTGTCTAATTCATTTTTATATCTTCATAACAATTTCAGTTGAATATATATTTTCTGAAACAAAATTTTAGCCTGTATTAGTCACAAAATTTTGGAATATGAGGATAATTGCAGTATTTGAGAAATATTTCCAATAACATAATAACTCTTATCTTGAATGAACATTTTCTGTTTTTTATTATGGTGGGAAAGAGGGAAACTCACTAATTTCAAATCTTCATTAGAAAGATATGTATAAAATATATTTTTTAATGAAAAATACTACTGTAAGTAATGTGAGATATGAAGGTACATAGACATTAGTATTTCCTTGAATTTAATAAGATTGTTTAAATATCAACAGTATAATGTTCTATTTTTCATATTTTCTTAGAATTATGAACTCTCAAAAACTGAAAAAATATATTTGGTCATTTATCAAGTTTTACCTTATAGAAAACTGGGTCATATACATTGCCTCATAAAAAAAGGCAATATATAACAGTACATCAGTATTAATATAATTATACATAAATATATATAGTAATATAATAATCATATGTCTAGTTATTATTTATAAAAAGTTCATACTAATTAAAAGAACATTGCCTAATTTACTAAGGCTTGGAATTAATATGAGTAATGAATTCTTCTCACCATTACAGTTGATACTTCAATTTACTGTCAATGAATTTGATGTGATTTAACATGTTTCATTTTCCTAGAATTTAATTTGCTTGTATTATGGTTTATTCAGATGCCTAAATGTGTAGCATCTACTTCCAATGACTTTCACTGAGATTAGTTTTCTAATGACTTCCTGGCAGACAGTGCACAGTGGTTTATTTCCTTCCTTATTTCATCCCTCCAGCCTCCTTTCCCTTCTATCTTTACCTCTCATCTTAACTTTTTCCTTCTTGTTTCCTTCCCTAAAACCCTTTCACACAATCTTTCTCTCCCTTTTCCCCCAGTGTAGTAAAATAAAACTTGAATTGGAGTATAGCAGGTTTTCCAGTTACATAATAATTTGATTATTATTAGCTTTGTAAACTTTTAAAGTTCCCTTTTGATCTTTACAACTAATGACTTATTTTGAGATATATTTACAAATCAAAAGAAATAAATATCATTCATAACAATATAAAAGAATAGCTACATATGTGAACTCTGAAAAAGTTTTAAAATATTTTCATGGAAGTTATTTATTCTATCAAAACATAAGATTACAGTAATTTTCTGATATTTCTTGACCTGGACTTAGAAGACAATAGATCACATTTTTGCATCATCTGAACTTTGCAAAGCATAAAAATGGATACTTCCAGATTCCTAATCAGTCTTGTAAAACATAATGGCAAATTCTATAACTATATGTGCTTGTATATATTCACATAAATATAAATAAAAACATATCAGGATTTCTAGTTAAAGTAAATTTTAATCTACATGATATTATTTTTATATCTTTAAGCTTTAAGGGAAGAACTGGAATGCTTTTATATATACAAAATGAAACACTTCAGTAAGTTACATAACTCTAAATTTTCTATTTAGCTTAAAAATAAGGTTACTATTTGTTCTTTCAAATTTAGAATTTTAAAATAGATTAATTTCATTTTCTCTAAAGATATCTTTTGATTTTATTTTTTGACAAGATTCTTACTTTACATGAAATGTAATTTGATGTCTTAAGACATACGTTTCCTACTTTTTTAATAGATGTGTCATATATAAAGTTAGGGGAATTAGAATCAGGGTTAAAATTAATCTTGAAGTCCTCACTATATATCAGATACAACTGTTCTAAATTTTTAAGCAGCAGTTCTTTGTTTCTAATAATAACCTGTATCAGGATTATCAAAATGTAAATGCTATTTGCTTCCAGAAATATTTTATGAATTCTCAGAAATTACTGTGCTATACTTACCAGCCAAAGCAAGAATATATTCTTGAAATCTTGTTCCTATACGGTTAGTGGCTGTGCAATTATATCGTCCAAAGTCATTGTCAGATGTAGGTGCAATCTAAAATAATTATAATAATAAAAATTCACAATTTTAAAACAATATCACAGAAATTTTAAAATAGCCTCTAGCATGCCTTACCATCTTTACACATATTCAATTATTCACAACTCCCTGCCGTAACTCTTTTTTCTGTCCTTTCAAGATGTAATCCATGGATCTGTACTACCCATAGGTCCAGGTAAATTATAGTCTACCAATTTATTAAGTAAATGCCAGTATTTTGTTACATATATTGAATAGAAAAATCATTAGATATTTACCTATGAAAGTTCAGAAAGTAGTACACAGTTTGGAAAATATGTATTCTGTAATTGCTACAGACCTGACTTTGAAAATAGGAATCTTGTACTAAAAGCATTGTTAACTCTTTGTTTTCTAGGTTGTAGCCTAAGATCAGGCAGATTTAAAGTTAAGAAAGGCTCGAAATATGTCAGCTTTCTCTTCCTCTTATGACTTTATTGAACATAAAATACTAACAAAAGACGAGGACCCATTGAAAAGAAAAATCTTTCCAGGAAGGCATTTTGCAAGGAAATATTGCCCTTGTGTAGCAATTCCTGTAGATAGGCACATTATCTTGATATCTAATAACAGTATCTTGCCTCCATTTCTGTTCAATTCCTATAATTCTCTTTCAGTTTAGGTGGAAAATAGCTGACCTCAGTCCTTACACATTTGAAATCCATAATTAAGTTAACATTCTGGGATTCTATTGCTGAATGGTGGGACCAACCCTGTAATTATAATGTACCGAAATTCTGAAGTATCAATTCAGAAAAGAGATTTGATGATAGTAAAGATATAATTTTCAATCCCAGTTACTATTATTAAGAGAGAATATGCTTACAACAAGAGTTGCTGTTAATTTCAAGTCTGTCCCCAAAGGGAGAAATGGTTTTGTGATAATGGGAGGGTATTAACTAAAAGTGCAATTTTGAGGTCCATTGAAGATGATAATTCTGAAAGAGTACAAAAAAGCTGTGTCATTCATCTTCTAGTCAGCTGTCCATCTAGGAATAGATCATACGTTTAAGGACTAGAGGCTTTAACAGCTCTTATATAAGTACTTCTAAGTGACTAAAATATTCATTTTTCATACATTCAGGTTTTAATAAATTAGGTTAATTTAACTCTAAAATAATTTTACTACTGAGAAATGAATTTGACCAAAAAAATGTCTTTATTCTACAGGCATATGAGAAAGTCATTTGTATACCCCATAGGGAAGAATGTGTACTGAATCACTGCAACGCAAAGACACGATGGCCGTGACAAAGAATCCTGACTATTGCACAGCTCCTCAAGATTAATGAAGTAACGTAAATATACGTATTTTAACTGGAATAAAACTTTAAAAAGCTCAATTCAGTTGTTTTTCTGTTCTTGGGAGTTTGCCTATCAAAAGATAAAAGCTTTATAATTCTACCTGAAATAATTTCTTTATCGTGTTTTATGATTAACAAATACAGAAAACACCCCTAGTAGCACAGACTATTAAAAACACACAGATCTAGACACCTGGGCCAACTCATGTGCCCTGCAGTATATCTGGTGTATTCTAGGAAAGCAGTAAAGTCCAATAGTGGTTGTACACCCAATTCCAGCACAGTGAAATAATAGATAATTTTATCAAAATAATATACAACAAAGATACATAATATATATTTATTTTAAATATTTAAGTGTTTAAAATATGCAAATTATTGTTGATATTTATCTAATAAGTGCTAGAAACATCTACTTATGATACCATTTATTCATATTTTAATTGCAGTCAAAATAATTCAAGTTTACTTCAGATGTTGGGCTTTGATAGAATATAGCAGAATAACAAATGTGGTTTTGAACACCAAAATATAAACTGAGAGTACAACGTTAATAAAGGAGTTTGCAAGTCTTCTTCCTAAACCTTCAAAAACTTGATTTCCTCTTTCTGTATATTCCATGGTGAGAAAATCATTTATTTAACAGTTAGCATCTTTACTCAGGGCAAGGAACAATACAGATGATCCAGAGCAGAATATTATTCCAATCAACCTATTAGAAACCTCCTGCATCAAATTTTGTTCATATATTGAAAAGTTGTCCTCTTACCTCAGGGGAGTGCCTAGGCAAAACAAATGAACAAATTTGGATATCCTTTAGAAATGCATTTATTGGCAATAACCCAAAGGATTTATAGACTGTTTTGTTACTTTCAAAAAATCGCAAATTAAAAAATGAGTATATGTATTTAATCAAAGAACCTCAGTTTTCTGCTATGGTTAAATACCTAAAATTTCAATTGAATCTGGCCAAAGTCTTTGTGAAATTGAGCTCCCTGTCAATTTGCCAATAGTTCTTCTAATACAGATACAAAAAAACAAACAAACCAAAAAATAAAAAATAAAAAAATTTAAATTGAAATAGCTTTAGACAAAGTGGCTTAATTACCAAACAGTCAGCTATCCAAACATTTGGGGGAAGTGATAGCTAAATCATTCTATCAACTAAATGTTTCACTAAGTCCATTTATTGGGTGGAAGTGTTAATATGGCACCAATGTGAATACCTTTAAGTTAATGTGGTATGGATCTCAAATGTTATTCGAAAACATGCATCTTTAAAATTTATATATATTGAATTAGTAGAGAAAATGTAGCATCTTTTTAGCTAAAAAGGTTGTTTGAGGAAGATTCCTAATTGTTATGAAAGCATCATAAATTGGGAGGCTTGATGATCATTGTCATAGACTTATATAAACTTTGGAAATTGATATACACACACGTAATCTGCAATTATTAAATTAAAGGTATTGTATTCAAACAGAATTTAAAGGCCAGGCACTTGGCAGTATAAAAACAATTATCTACAATCTTAATGTAAAATAATAAAATAAAATGAGGCAATGAACAAGTAAATCTGGTTTATTTAGGAACATGTAAATATGTAGCCAGTAGATAGCATTTATATATACCAGTCTAAGGAGCAGGAAGGTGTAACCACAGACTCAGTGTCCAGTAGCAACACTGAAATTAAACATTTGGCCCTCAATAACTGACAAATTACTCATTCTTTCTCCCTATATTTTTCCTGATATAATTGTGTTTTTTTTCCAAAAATAAATTCATGAAAAATAGTGGCTTTTGCTATATACCCATATTACTATATAAGTAGTGAGACATTAACCATTAACAAACCATAATCCAAATGCATAAAATTTCCCTCGAGTAAGTAAACATGAAATATATACAATAGGGTATATGTATATTATAGGATAGAAATATATATTATATATTAAGATACTAAGATATTTAAACATGTTCTAAAATAGTAGATAACTGCTAAAGTAATACAATTTGTTGATATGTACATGAAGACTTACCTCTAATATTATTTTTCTCCCTGCACTATATGTCTTTAAATTAGTGGTGTTTTTAGCTGGCAAGACTAATTTCTCTCTTCTCCAATGGACTGATGCTGGTGGATTAGATTTCACATCACAGCTTATATTGATTGGATTTCCTTCCCAAGAGTAATAAATTGTTTGGTTTGATATGAACTTGGGAGCATCTGTAAAGCAATATAATATAACATTACAGACCTTTTATTTAAGAGAGTCATTTAATTAGTATAAACAATAGTAATCATTACTGACTACAAAAAGAAGCCACAGCAATTCTAATTTCATATATTTACTATGTGATATCAGAAATAATGAAAATATATCATTTGACTGTTTCATCAAATCATTTTAACATTAATATAAAAATATTCAGTCAGCCAATTATTAAAATATGAAATATTGACACTCAGAGTTGTTTGATTTTAATAATCTGACAAAAATTTCCATGAAGTAAATTAATGGCTCTCTACATATGTGAAATATATTTCTGAAACAACTCATAAAGTGAGAGTTTAGGATAAAACAAAATTTGTGGTCTTGTGTCATTTTTTTAACTTTGTCCTAGTCATATAATTTCTTCTATAAAATATTTTAAGGCAGATATAAAATCTAAATTGAAATGGCAATATCACAACTAAACAACAAATATTTTCCTGAAATGTCATTTCCAGTTTTTAATAACCAGGTATGTTTAATTTAATTTGAATATTAATCAGCTTCTATAATGCTGTGTCAACTGTCAGGCCCCTACACCAGACCTCTGTAATGATAGGTAAGAGAAAATAGAAAATACATTATAAATGCATTATATCATTTTATTGAAGAAACCTAATTTTGAAGACACAGAGACGGTTTTTAGTCGTGTTCCATTCAAGAACTATGACATAGCCCAAATGCCAAGCAACCATAACTTCTCTGAGTCTCAATATCTTGACTGTATAATTGAGAGGATTCATTTTACAAATTTCTACATAACATACTCTTAAGTGGTAGCTAAAACGTTGCTGGTATTTATACTGATTATTGTTGCTACTAATATTAACTATTTAAAATTTAATATCCCTCATAAGTTATCAATTTCAAACTGCCTAAATTAAACCTATTGTTTTACTACTCAAATTACTTAAAGATGATCTTCTACTAATTTTGTTATATCAACAGATTATATATCAGATACGTAATATAAGAATTATAATCTCCAGTACAAACGCACAAATAATTATTTAAATATTATTGTCCTATACATGTTTTACTGTATTTTTTAAATGCCAATCTCACATAGAAGCATGAAATATTCATTGAATGCTTTCTATATGACAATAAGCTTATACATTTTATTTCATTTCATCTTTTTCATGACTTTGTGAGGAAGGTGTTACTTTGTCATAAGCATGAGGGATCCGGAGTAAGAGCTATCAAGCTTTTTCTAGTACAAAGTTGTAGGCGTGGTATGTGAATCTGGGGCAATTTTAACTAGGGTCCATTAAATTTCTATTCAACCCAGGAATATTATAATATTCACTACTAGCAATGTGTTGGTGATGCGGACTTTATCATACATTATTGAGGAGAATATATTTGGGACAATTCCTCAGGAACACAAAAGCCTTAAAAAAACTTTGTAATCTTGATTTTGCAAACTAGTCTTAGATATCTCTCCAGAGAAATAAGTAGAAATACTATCAAATGTTAATATAAAGGACTTTTAGCACATTGTTATTTTAATAACAAAATCTCAAAACAACTTAATGTCCCACAAAAGAGGATCAGATAAATAGTGACACATATTGGCACTTAAGTGTGCTAATATTACACAGATGTATCTGCTTATGGTTTTCCCTTAGCTGCAATGTGTCTGTCCTTCCCTTTACCTGGCTGCGTTCAAAACTAAGCTCCACGCTAACTTAACGCAGCCTTTCCACAACCTTCAATTGTGGGTTAGTTCCCTTACTTTGTGTTCCCACAGATCCTATATTCTCCCTCAGCATGGTCATAGAAATTGGAATGATCTATTGATATATGATTGTTTCTCCACCAAATGATCTGAATCTTATGGTTTTAACAGATAAAGAAGATATGGTATATTGGAGTGGGGTCCCTGCCAGCTCCAACGCCACCCTTGCCTCGAGTCGTTTAACCCACCTGTTAGCAATCCCACTACTGGGCATATACCCTGAGAAAACCAATATTCAAAAAGAGTCATGTACCAAAATGTTCATTGCAGCTCTATTTACAATAGCCCGGAGATGGAAACAACCTAAGTGTCCATCATTGGATGAATGGATAAAGAAGATGTGGAATATATATACAACGGAATATTACTCAGCCATAAAATGAAACAAAATTGAACTATTTGTAATGAGGTGGATAGACCTAGAGTCTGTCATACAGAGTGAAGTAAGTCAGAAAGAGAAAGACAAATACCATATGCTAACACATATATATGGAATTAAAGAAAAAAAAATGTCATGAAGAACCTAGGGTTAAGACAGGAATAAAGACACAGACCTATCAGAGAATGGACTTGAGGATATGGGGAGGGGGAAGGGTAAGCTGTGACAAAGCGAGAGAGAGGCATGGACATATGTACACTACCAAACGTAAAATAGATAGCTAGTGGGAAGCAGCCACATAGCACAGGGAGATTAGCTGGGTGCTTTGTGACCGCCTGGAGGGGTGGGATAGGGAGGGTGGGAGGGAGGGAGACGCAAGAGGGAAGAGATATGGGAACATATTTATAGGTATAACTGATTCACTTTGTTATAAAGCAGAAACTAACACACCACTGTAAAGCACTTATACTCTAAAAACAATGTAAAAAAAAAAAAAAAAAAAGAGGTCCCTTCAGGAGTTCTGGCCGCTGACTAACGGCCCGACCCCAGCCGGGACCTCCTGGTAAGACTATAACTAGTGATGTTTGTACAACCAAAGACTCTATTTTGTGCTTTAAGGAGAATAAAATTGACTATGTTTTTTTTTAAAAAAAAGAAGATATGGTATTGATATATATATATATATACAAAATGAAATGTAACTCAGCCATAAAAAAATGAAATCTTGCCATTTGTGACATGTATGAACCTAGAGGGTAGTATGCTAAGTGATGTAAGTCAGACAGAAAAAGACAATTGCCATATGACTTCACTTACATGTGAAATCTGAGAAACAAAACAAATAAACAAACATAACAAAACAGAAACACTCATAGATACAGAGAAAAAAATTTCAGTTGCCATGGGGAAGGAGATTAAGAGGAACAAACTTCAAGTTATAAAATGAATAAGTCTCAAGAATGTAATGTGTGTATAGATGGCCTGAGGAATATAGACAGTAGTAATAATCTAGTAGTAATTTTTATGGTGATAATTAGACTTATCCTGGTGATCTTCTCCTGATGTGTAAAAATATCAAATCACTATGTTGTACAGCTGAAACTAATGAAATATTGTAAGTCAATTATACTTTAATAAAATAAGATTTGTCTTGGTCACAATTATATACCTGATGGCTTACACAATGTAAGATGCTTACTTGGTTCTCTAAAACTGTACATTAAATTTACTGGATATTAAACTGTCAGTTAATTTTTAATTCAGTAGTTCAGTTAAATTGAACAGAAGGTATTTTCAAGGAGAAAAGGAAAGAAAAAACTTTTTCAAGACCTGGGAAGATTAAGTGCAAAACCTAAGAATGTATAACTAATTAGGGTGCAACCGTAAGAGAAGCCAAACTTCCCGATATTCAAAGTCAAAAGTTAAGCTATATCTATATCCATTTCTAGCTCTAGCTCTATCTATAAGATATTTTATTACTGCTTAATCTATATGAACTATAACCTCTTTAGCATTATAATATGCTAGAGAGAGGTTTATAAATAATGTATTTGCATGTAATATATATACCTCAATATGAAAATCACACACATTAATGTAACTATTAATACCTGACTCACAGTCTACTCTGTCCGCAATATAGCATCTGTGTGTATGTGTATTATATTATTATAACTTAACCATAAACTTAGGGCATAATTTGGCTTTTCTGAAAAGCAAGCAATTGCCACTAATTGCTTGCCTGATGATCTCAGTGGGAATTTAATTTGGAATTACTGATGCTGCATGCAAACGTGCTACAGGCAAAACATGCTATACTGAAAGCTACATTTAAAAATGTATTTGAGGTGTGAGGCAGGAAAGTACTGATAACTCCTCTCTACAATAAAACAGAAACTAAATTCTTGTACATTGTATGCTTTGTAAATATCAAACCAGTAGCAAGGCAGCCGTAGTCACTGCCACAAGGTTGGCATGTTAATGAAATCGAACAATTGTTATTGGGCCACTTTTTGGAAAAGGATGTGCCTCTGGCAGAGGCAACACGTGAAGACTTCAGGCTAAACAAATGTAGCCGGATCTCGGGTTGGTAAACCCAAAATTGTAATTTTCAGAAAATAAGGCCTTTTCAGAAGAGTAAGGCTTTAACATCATGAGAGGCTTGAAATGTTGTATGGAGGAAATACATTTTGGCAGTTAAAAAGAAAAACAAAAAGCCTAGAAGAAGGAAGAGGAATATGCCATGAGTAGAACTGTGCAAAGATCAGAATTGATGAGATATATATATGCAGATAGGAAGATAGGCATAGACAAAGTTTCACCTTGAAGTTGCATTCTTTGCATTCTTTGTCTAGGTTTTGTGCCCTGTATTCTATGCATTGGGAAGATTAATTCCTGACCCCATTAACTATAAAGCTATGGAAACATCTCTTAAGGTACTGTATGTCCCCTCAATCATATTAACTTCCAAATTAAAATATTTTACAAATTATAATGAATATAAATAACTTTATTGGAAGAACAAATTTTTTATCTGAGAAGAGTTGAGAAGAAAAATAAGAGAAACTTGAAAAGTAACAAATTCCAAATATGCCATTCAAGCTCCTTACTGTCTATGTCCATGGCCTGCTTTTAGCAAGAATACTATTAGGCCAGTTTAGTAAGAATAACATTATCCTTGAAATTTAATCAAGTTCCTGTTAGTAATTTTCCATCCATTGACTCTTGTCATTCTGCTCATTGGCTATAAATCCCTACTTGTCCTTGTACTCATAGTTGTGTTTAATCTTTCTGCTCCATTGCAGCAGTCTTGACCCCTACTGCAACAGTTTTGA